ACATCCGAGAGATAGCACTCTCGTGCCATCCTCTGATCTCCCCTTAGGGAGCCGACTGTTCCATTGTCCCTCTCAAATTTGAGCAACATAAGAGATGGGATAATCACAGCCTTGGAATTATTCAAGGTTGGTCGTCCCAGAATCATGTTGTAGGCCGAGAGTTCTTCTACCACCAGGAACCGGACTACCATGTGTCGTCCTTCCCCTTTTTCACCCAGGCGGATGGGTAGATCTACGCGTCCTACAGGATGGACGACTCCTCCTCCAAACCCTACTAAAGGGTGGGAGGCCGGATGTATACAATCAGTTTTGTACTTCAATTTTGACAGACATTTGCTACTGATAAGATCTGAAGAGCTTCCGGTATCTATGAGGATTCGGCCAACTCTCTGATTGGCCACCTTACATTCAATGACGATAGGGTCGTCATGCGGCCCCCTGACCCCTCCTAGATCTTCTTCAGTAATGACAATCTCAGGAAATGAATTTTTGGAGGGCCGTTCTGGGTGAACAGAATTTACATCTAGCCGCCTGATATGGTCTTTGTTGCCCCTAATAGTGGGGCCGCCTCCTGAGAAGCCGCCTGCAATGGTGTAGACGACTGCATCATCCGTATCAGAGCTGTCGGCCTGTTGATTCTTTTTGGCCAACTGTTTTTTCGAGGAGGTGCTCCCCGTGGATTTCTTGATATAAGGGTTAAGATCCCCTTGCTCAGCCAGGCGGTCCAGATACCGCATGAGGCTGATGCATTCCTTGGTGTGATGACCAACATCTTCATGATAATCACAGAATTTATCTTGGTTCCGGTTGCTTGGAGAACCCTTCATGGGGACCGGCTTCTCAATTGAGATCCGTCCCTTGATTTCTTTTAGGATAGCTTGGCTGTCCTTGTTAAACACATACTTTGGGGAGTATGGTTTGAATTCTTTTTTCTTCTTCTGGGCCGGCTGTTTAGAGGAATCAGCCGCCCAGACCTCTTTTCTTTTCTCATCTTTGTTGGACGACTGCTTCTGTCGTCCTTCTCTTTTGTCAGACTTTTTCCAGTCTGACTGCTTTGTATTGCAAAGATCGGTCGCCTGTATATAGGCTTCTGCTTCAATCAAGGCCTCCTGAAGAGTCGCCACCCTCTTTCGAACCAGATCAAATTTGAAGGTCGACCCATCCTTGAGACCCCTAAAAAAGTCAGTATAAGCTACCTCATCCGGTAACCCTTGAATCTGTATTCTCATCAGGTTAAACCGCCTGATGTAGGATCGAAGCCCCTCCTTCTCACCCTGCTGAATTGTCCCCAAATCAAGGGTCGTCTTCTTCGCAGGAATGTTCATGGCGAAGTTGGAGGTGAACAGGTAAGCAAGCGTCCTGAAGTTGTTTACACAACCAGTCGGCAGGTTGCCGAACCATTGTTGTGCAATTCCTTTAAGAGTCGCTGGGAAACACTTGCACCAAGTGGGATCATCCAACCCTTGAAGGTACATCAGGTTGGTGAATGCCATCAAATGGTCTTCTGGGTTAGTAGTGCCGTCATAGGCGCCTACTAAGACATTTTTTACCTTCGCCGGCTGAGCGGCTTCAGTAATTTCCTTGGAGAAGGCCGACGGCTGTTCACCAAGCCTAAGCAACCGTAGCTGCCAGTCCATAGGTTGGACATTTTTTGCTGCAGGTCCACCAAATGGAGGTGGCTGCAAGAAATACTGTTGTTGCGGTACAAACGGTAAGTTTGGTACCGCCTGGTCGCTATGAAAGCCTGACCGACGGGAGGTGCCGCCTGACTGACTCTCATGATACGACTGGGTATGCCTTATCGAGGCATTTTGTAAACTTTCTTGAAAATTTGAAGTAGAGGTCGACTCTGACAGTCGGTCACTCTTCTTCTGTTCTAACAGTAGCCGAGCGTCTGTGTATGTTTTCTTCGACCCATCCGCCTGAGTATGACGAACAGGTTTCCTATTTCCTGGAGTAGGAAAATGGTATTTTGTGAGATTAAGGGCAGATGGCTCCCACTTCCTTGATTTAGGATGAGGGGTTGCCTCTCGCCCCTGAACTGGTTTCCTCTTCCGTGAAGAGGAAGGTTTCTTAGCCGACTGCTCTTTGTCCAGAGCAGGCGTCTTCTTAGTGATTAATTCCTGAATTTCTCCCTTGAATTCCCTCATGAAGGTCATGAGTTCGTTCCTTGTAATGGGAGCAGATCCATCAGCCGGCTGCTGCCGAACAGATTGTGCGCCTGTTGGCTCACTAACAGTTTGAAAATGTTCCCGTTCCCTTCTTTCGGTAGGACGGGTACGTCGGGCCCTTAGGGTCCCGTCTGGAGCTGTGTGAGCTTCCACTTCAAGTTCATTGTCAGTATCATGGTCCGACTGGACTTGAGGGTCGTCTAGGGGACGCCTCTCTTCAAAAGTCGGTACAAACGTGGATGCCATCTCAGAAATACTCTCCCCACAGACGGCGCCAAAATGTTTCGGGGTTTTCTGATGTCCTTCGGGAGAGTTACAACACCGAGACTGGAACCGGACGCCTGTACCTGCAAAACAACGAAGACTCCCTGTGGTAGGAGCTCCGCCTCCAACGGTCAAGTTAGTACCTGATTAAGGAGTAATAAATGCGGAAATAAAGGTGATTAGGTCTCTCTAGGTGAGAGTGTTTAATGTGTGTAATCTCTGTTATTCGAGTTCTCTCCCTCTTAATGAGGATTAAGAGGGGTATTTATAACCTCGAGAAGCGTGCCAGTCTTAGGTTTAGGGTAAACCTAGGGCTGACTGGGCCTCATAACAGGATTGGGCCTTGGTGGCCGGTTTTCCCATTTGGCATGGGTGGACACGTGGCGTGTCTCAACTGGTCCGTATAGGACATATCTGTGACTGACACGTGGCAGGCTCCTATTGGCCCACGTGAAGGACACGTGGCGGAACCTGGTTGGTCCACTTGTCAGACGGCGATTGGTGGATAAAAATCCCCTAATCACAACGCATATAGAAAAATAAATAATAAGACAAAAATTATTAAAACTATGATTGAGAAAAAAAAAATTATTGTTGATTAGTTGTGTTGAACATATTTAAAAGTAGTATACAATAAATTACATTAATGATGCATATTATTTCCCAATAAAACATACAATCTAGTGACTATATGACTAAAGACTTATTAATAAATGCTTTTTAATAAACATGAAAATATTACTCAAACAACAGAGTAAAATCTACAATAAAACTATTAGCACAGGATATATGTAAATATATAAATTACAAATAATATATCACATACAAAGTATAATTGTTAACTTAATCTTACAAAATTTAATTTATAATTCATATTAGAAAATATCTTAACTTAATCTTACAAAAAAAAAATTAATTCAATTTATACTTCATATTAGAAATATCTTAACTTAATATTACAAAAACATTACACATACAAAGTATAATTGTTATCACTCACTCTACTTTTTTAAAGTGTTGCACCATTTTTTGTTTTCTTTTTTATTTAAGCACTACACAACTACACTTCCTTATCTTTGGTAAATTAACTACCATTGAATTAAAGAGTATAAAATATTATTATTGTAGTAAGTTGCTTATTTATTTAAAAACTAATTTAATTTTAATAATATACAACTTTACGAAATATTTTTTGGTTAGATGCGTGCATAGCACGGGTATTAATCTAGTACTCCGTCTAAAACATATCTAGGTGGTAATGATAGTATATTGTACCTAAACTAGTGGCTCACTTTTTCTATAATTAAAAAAGAGTTGGAATAATATTTTAGGTAAATGTGTATGGAACAAATAAGAATAAGAAATAAAAAAATACATTTTATGCAAAAATAATATATACGATTTAGAATAATTTATAATAGTTGTATTATACAAATATTCCAAAAATAAAAGATTTTTTTCCTAAAAGGGGAAGGGGAGTTTTGAAGGGAAAATACAATACTATGAAGTGACATGTGTCATTACTGGTGTCTGATTTAGTATTATGTTATTGATTAGTTATTATGTATTTATGTTATATTATACGAGAACATAATAGTAAAATCCTAAAATTTTCTCTGTTCTCTCTCTTCAAACTTACCCACCATAGTAAAACTTAGGGGTTGCCATCGACTTTTATCGATGGTAAGCCCCAAATTCTTCTTTAATTTAATGTTTATAGCCAATAAAGATCACCAACAGCATGGTGATTATAGTCAGTCCCTCCATGTAAGGTTTAGTATTGTTTGTTTTTAGTGTGTGCAGTGATACAAATTTGGAAGATTTGTCTTGCAAATTTGTGGAATTGCGGGTCTGTTGGTATAAGGGTACATATCTTGATGACCAATCAAGTTTTATCACTTTGCGACTATACATCAATGGAGCTCCGTCAAGAACGATGCAAAGATATATAAAATTATCCAGGGGCAGTTCAGAAGCGATGCCATTAGTTTAGGGGTGTTTAATTCTTGTATTGAGAATTTAGATCTCTTAAGGGATGATTGTAAGTGTCGAATGACTATTATTATTTAATGAAATCACCCTTCCTTATTCCATTAAAAAAAAATGTTATATTATACGAATTACTATTTATTTGGTATACCTTTAAACATCTTCCATTAGTTTCATGAGTTTTTTTTAATTTGTTTTTATCATATGAGTAAACCGATTATATTATAGTACTTTATAATGGATTTTTGACATTAAAATAAAAAACAACCATGCATTATGTCAAATTTGACCTAAAATATAGGTCAAATCAATTCAAGCATTGGGCTAAAATATATACATATTCAAGTATGAACATTGGCCAATTCTCCCAAAAGTTCGACCATTTAGATTCAAATTCCATTAATAACGATCCAAATTTCACCCAAAATTCAAATACGAAGTCCAATTAACCTCCTATTGATCAAATCAAAATAATAACCTATGGAATATTTATTAATTTACTCAATTCAATGGTAAACAAACAAATTACGAAACTACAAAATTAAAGAATTTCATCTCACATAAAATCAAAATCAAAATCAAATAAAAATTACAGCAAAACTTCATAAAAACAAAATAGATTACATAAAGTTCACAACCACTACCGACATGGTAGATCGATAGAGAATAATAAAAAAATTCATCAAAAATTCCCAAAAAATATATAAAAAAAATCCTCTGTAAAACCACCGACCCAAACCCAAAATCTTCATCATCTTCTTCACTCTCACTCTCACTTTACACTCAAATACACCTTTTCTCTGATCAATTGCAAAAACCCAGATTCTGAATTTCGGGTTCGGATCATCCATTGAATAGGGTATATTGAGATCTCTGAAGAAGTGCAACAATGGCGGTTGCTGGGAGAGGAGGAAGAGGTGGGTCCGGGTCGGGTTTGATGGGTATACGAAGCATAATGTCATACCCGATCTTCGTTTCCGTCATTTTCTCTCTCCTCTTCCTTGCTGCTCTTAAGCTTCTCTTCACTTCTCCTTCTTATCCATCTTCTTCAGATCCTGTATGTTTTCTTTACTCTTGTATTTTGATGCCTTTTTTTGATTTTTGTTATTGATTTTATGATTTATGATGCTGTTTTTGTTGAATTGCTTGTTTAATGATTTTATTAGCTCATTGAATTTGTTGGTTTTTGCTTTTTTCCATTTTTAGAATCAGATCTTTGTTACTTTTAAGTTTTATTGTTAATTTAGGCAGTATTATGGAGTGATTATGCAGGAAGAATAAATAATTTAATTGAAATTGAGTTTCTTTATCTTGTGATTAGTGTGTATGATGGGTTGTTGTTGTTAAGCAATTGTGGGTATTTGCTAAAATTGAACTCAGTATGAGTAGTTAAGAGTTAGCTTTTTTGTGGTGTAGAAATTGGTGGGATTTTGCTGAGAATGTGTAAATAGGGAGACTCGGCGAGATAAGTTGGATAGATTTGTTAAGGGGAATGCTAGGATTTGTTTGATTGTTTTCTCTTCTTTAGTTTAGAAGGGATTAATGGAAGGAGTGGAATTTTGATGTGAAAATGGTATTTAGCTGTGTAGGATAAACATGTAATCTAGTTTGGTCTCGTCTTCTATATGTTTTACTATCGCGGCTAGATAAAGTGGTGGGATTTGTGTAGATTATGGAAATGAGAATTGGGTTTTTGATTATGATTTGGTGGCTGAAACAGGAATTGCCAACAACTGGGAATGCATATATTCATAGGTCATTTCTAGCTTTGAAGTCAGATCCTCTGAAAACCAGGCTGGACTTGATTCATAAACAAGCCCATGATCATGTCATGCTTGTTAATGCCTATGCTGCCTATGCACGAAAGCTGAAACTTGATAATTCTCGGCAGCTTAAGCTGTACGACGAGCTGGCCCAGAATTTTACGGACATGATATCTAAACCTGCTTATCGTGCTGCTTTGTTTGAGACTGAAGGCACTGTGGATGAGGACGTCTTAAGGCAATTTGAGAAGGAAGTGAAGGATAAAGTAAAGGTCGCAAGGCTGATGATTGCTGAAGCTAAAGAGTCATATGACAATCAGTTGAAGATTCAGAAATTAAAGGACACCATATTTGCAGTTCATGAGCAGTTTCTTAAAGCGAAAAAGAATGGTGCAATTGCAAGCTACATTGCTGCAAAATCTGTGCCTAAAAGTCTTCATTGTCTAGCTATGAGGCTTGTTGGAGAGAGAATCGCCCATCCAGAGAAGTATAAGGATGAAGAGCCGAAACCTGAATTTGAGGACCCAACCTTGTATCATTATGCGATATTCTCAGAGAATGTCATTGCTGTATCAGTTGTTGTGAATTCTGTGGTGAAGAATGCAAAAGAGCCATGGAAGCATGTTTTCCATGTGGTGACAGATAGGAAGATTGTTGCAGCAATGAAGGTTTGGTTCAAGATGAGACCTGCCACAGGGGGAGCCCACGTTGAAGTGAAAGCTGTGGAAGACTTCCAGTTTCTAAATCCATCATATGTGCCAGTTCTTAGACAACTTGAATCAGCAAAGTCACAAACTCGTGACTCTGAAAATCAGGCAGAGAATGCTACTAAAGATACCAAGTACTTGTCGATGCTGAGTCATCTCCGATTTTACTTGCCTGAGATGTATCCTGATCTGCACCGTATCGTGCTTTTGGATGATGATGTTGTGGTTCAGAAAGATTTGACTGATTTATGGAACATTGACCTAGATGGTAAGGTGAATGGGGCTGTTGAGACATGCTTTGGGTCCTTCCATAGGTACTCACAGTACTTGAACTTCTCTCATCCTTTAATTAGGGAGAACTTTAATCCCAAAGCTTGTGCATGGGCTTATGGGATGAACATATTTGATTTGGATGCTTGGAGGCGTGAGAAATGCACAGAGCAGTACCATTACTGGCAGAACTTGGTATGATTATGCCTCCCTTTTGAGCTTCGTGTATTTTGGTACTAAGGCTCTGTTATTGTTGTTGTTGTAGTATTCATAAATCTATGCTATTGTTAAGTGTCTTGAGCTGGATCCTCTTTTGACTTCATCGTTCTTATGTTGTTTTCTAGAATGAAGACCATACCTTGTGGCAGCTAGGAACGCTTCCAGCTGGCCTGGCCACTTTCTACTTGAAAACAAAGACATTGGACAAATCTTGGCACGTCCTTGGGCTTGGTTATAATCCAAGTGTGAGCATGGATGAGATTACTAATGCAGCAGTCATTCATTTTAGCGGGAGCATGAAGCCTTGGCTTGATATTGCAATGAATCAATACAAGGAGTTATGGAGCAAGTATGTGGATAATGACATGGAGTTTGTGCAGATGTGCAATTTTGGCCTGTAGATGTTTACAATCCTTCTCTTTCAGAAATAAGGTAACTGGAAAGTGTTATATAGTCAAAGATTCATCTGAGTTACTCGTACATGTCAGTTCTGCTTGCAAGCCCCTCCGATAAGTTTAGTTATGCTAACTCCATTCTTTTTTTCACTCCATATTGGTCTTATATTTTATTTTCTTGATCCCATTCCATCTTCCTTCAGCCACGAAGGTGCTACTGTTGGATGTACTAAAACACCCAGCTTGGGTGGTTTATATACAGATTTACAGAATGTATTTTTTAGAGACACTTTATGTGACTGGATTTATCAATATGTAGACAACATTTTTGATAATTGATCAAGATTACACGCTGTTAGCTCTACTTAGTTTGTATGTATGGTTGACTTGATGTATTGAAGGTGGTTTACAATGGTATTATTTTGGTTGCATTCATCTGTGGCAAAGGAAGTAGTTTACTGTTTGAGTAGCCCATAATTTCCACCTCTTCTGTCCATTGGCTGAGCTAGGAAATCTGCTTGCTTTGACTTCTTTGTAGATAGATCCTAGGTATCTTCCTCTTTCATGTCGGTGCCACAAGCATATTCCATCTTTCTATTTCGTTTTTTTGTTGGTAAAAAAACTCCAAATGCCTGCATGTGTCAGGAGTCCTTCTAGCCTCTGCTCTTGTTTGATTCTGAATCTTATACATTAGCTTAGAAGATTACTTCGTATTAAAAAGCTTAGAAACTTAGATAGCCAAATTGAGGATGAGAGTAGTATGAGGCTTTGGATAACCTGGATAGTCAGTATAGTTCACTGCACTCTATAGTCCAATCTCACTATATTTCACTGACTCTTGGATTGAGTAGCTTTTTTTCTTACTATTGATGTCTTTACAAGTCATTAATTAGCATGATTCCGCTAATGAAAGTTCCTCTGGAGAAAGGATGCATATACTCATATAGGACCCTGCTGTTTGGTTGATTTACTGGGATTTGATTAAACTGAAGGAAAGTGTCAAAAGTAGGGCACCTTGTTTGTAGCTGGAGTAATGATGCTCTGGAGGAGTATAAATCCTAGTGTTTTCTGGGATTTCTTCCTCCTTTTCTCCCATTAAGAGAAGTGATGCGTTCTCCCTTATTGTCTACTTTGGTTATTTTATTTTCCTCGGAGTGTGTTTGGTTTTAAGGATTTAAGAGAAAGGCAGGGAAGAGAATGTGAGGCAGAAAGGAGGGAACACATGTGGGGGCTCATTAACTTGTGTTGAGTAGGCAATATATTATTGGCAATGCAAAGTTTGTCAGCTTATTGCCCCCACATGCATAGTCTTAAGATGGGTTTTCATCTGCCAAACCGCATGCAAGACTCATGATAGTCTTTGATGACATTATTGCCAAAGTCTTGTATGAGACTCTTCTTGAGACTCCGCTTCAGACTTGCGATAAAGACTCCCTAAGCAGTTGCAGTTATATATACGGAGTATTTAGCATTAGTTAATTCATGGGGCTCAAAGTTATATCTTCTCTTCTGCATTCGTATTAACATCTTCTTCATTCATTCTTACCTCAGAATTAGTTAACTCATTCTGAGTCCTTGATATAATTTGGGACATAAGAAGGGTGTTTTGCTAATCATATTATGTTGTACTTGCGTCTTTATCTAAAAGTTCAGTTCAGACTTCAGAATGCTTTTCAACTGATAAATATTTTCAAAAATGACATATAACTCCATAATATAAAAAGGTATTCTATTGAAACAGTTTTGGCACTGGCTGATTACATACGAGTTTTTGCTTCATTAAGCTCATTAATGAGATATTGGGTTAATGAGCTCATTAAGCTTATTAACACAAACTACCCGAGGTGAAGGAGATGTTAAGCTTATTAACCCATATCTCATTGAGAGTGAGGGATAGCTCAGTTGGTTAGAGCTTTCCTCCCGGTTCCAGGGGATCCTAGGATCGATATTCATCATCCGCCCTAGTGGCTCTCTAAACACCAAAAAAAAAAAATTATTCATTAAGCTTATTAACCCGATCTCTAGGTTGCTGAGATGAAGGAGATAAGAGTTAGGGGAAAAACACAAACCCATATCTCCTTCATCCCCGCACCCTCTATCTGCCTCCATTGGTGCTATACAAACACTCCATTAAAGGCAACTACCAGTCTACCACCACCACCACCAGCCGACAACCACCTGGTGTTAAATTAGCCTGCTAAGGCTGGGTTGAGGAAGATTACATAAGCTTAGTAGAGACTCTGTGTTTATTATCTTTTCTAGAGTTCTCTCTGTTATGCTAGTCTGTCATTGTATTTTTCCAGATATATCACCTAAAGAAGATTCCGAAGTTTCTATCTTCTCTAAACTAGTCTCGTTTCGTTCATCGTTCAAGGTTATGCACATCTGATAACAACTTGTCCTCAAACAAAACATCAGAATGGATCTGATTCTTCATTCCTGCATAAGTTCCATGTTGTTGCTGAACCTTCCTTATCAAATGGCATTTAGTTAGTTCTCCATCCTACAAAGTGACTTGCATGTGATTGTTTAAACTAAAGAGGATTGTCATGTTAACTGTACAGAAGAATATGAGAATATACTTGAGGCATTTAAATCATCCTTTTGCTTTATATAAATCTCCGACTATGATTAGTTGTTTGGCATGCAATATAAAAAGTGCACTAAAGGAGCTTGGTGTAAGGCTTCAGAATTAGGGGTTTGAATTGCTAGCATTTTATTTATACTGTTATCATAGTCTAGTGACTACTGACTAGTGAGTAGTGACTTTTTTCAACCTCATTTTCCAAGCGAATTGTATTTGCGTAGGCAGTGAAGTTGCTCATGACTAATAACTTAATAAGAAAATAAAAGACAAGTGACATTCAGTCGAGAAGAACACCAGGGCACCTGCTATTAGAACTGGGTACATGTTAATACATGTATAACTTGGCATGTGTAGGAGTAAGACGTGTGCGCCACAAATACAACTTTTTGTACTTGTGTTTATGTATACTGTTTGATACATAGACGTCATATTATTTATTTTTGAGGGGTATCATCAAATTAAAATACGTAAATAATATAAAAAGTCAAAAAAAAAAAAAAAAAATCAAGGAAGTGCTATGTTTAAGCAACTTGGGTAGTTGGTGGCTTGGTGCATGCTAATTTTGGCTTTTATTCTGCCGCTTCTAACATCCAATACCTTTTCTACTGCAATTTCTGATGCAACTATTTTGGTCATCAAATTGTTTTTTACTGCTATATGAATTTTATATGATTCACAAGTTTAAATTATGCATTAATGCCTAAACTACTTATTTTATTATATATGGAGTGTTTGTGATGTGATAAATCATAAATGTAATGCTAATTAAGTTACTTTATTTATAATACTTGAGATAAGAGAATATCCGTAGCATAATATAAACCTGTGGGAGCCCAATGAATTTTTCCCTGCTTATAAACATTACCACCCACAGATGTCTCCTTTCTTCAACAGTACTCTATTTGTTTCTTCCACCTTTTCCGATTTTCATTTTCGAGTTGCTGCATCCCACTAACATTTAAATTCAATATTTTGGCGATATAAGTCAAAATTACAATAATTTACGAACAGAGTATTAATTGTAACTTATTGTGATCTTTGAGCTATTAAATGCTATTCTCAAATAAATTATGCCACACAAAAATATTCATAAAATGAATAAAAAATTACTCTAATCTTATTAAAATAAGTTATTGTAAATCCGATACATGGCCAACATAAAACTTTGGAGATAATATAAGTTATTAGTAATTGTGCTACTTTTGATAGTTTTTATTTTATTTTTGTCCTTAATTATATTTTACAATAATTGTATGTATGTATATATAATTCAAGGGCTGGCGTTTAGTTTATCATAAGAACCTTTGTCAAAAAAGGAATGACCAGGAATTTCAGTCTAAAGTTACTTAACATGCTCATTGTTTAATATTGCTTTTCAAAATTTCTCTAGAATGATGACACAATGTCGAAGAATTCCACTTAAATTAAATACTTCGTAGCTTTTTTAGTTAAGAGACCATATGTATTATCAGAAAAATAACATGTACGTTGTACAATTTATCACGTCATTTATGATCCTGACTAAATAAGTAATTAAGCAAGTCGGAAATTGACAGATTAATTAAGCAAGGCGGAAATTGACAGATTAATAATAGTTTTTAATAGTATAATCATCTTCCTAAAATAATTCAGGTGTTTTGCTAATCATATTACGTTGTACTTGCGTCTTTATCTAAAAGTTCAGAGTTCATACCGCCTTTTCTTTTTATCTCCCAACAAATATATTTTTTATTCCTTAGATTATTCGTCATTTAGAGCATTTTCTGGATTAGATAAATTGTGTATTCTTGAAAATAGTACGGACAACTTTGTATTGAACAAGTAACGTAACAACTAATTTAGATGACGCGAGTAATTACGTAAGTGTAAAAGTTATGAGCCATATCATTCTAAATCAAGTAGCAAGTAATTTAGTAATGGTTCATAAAAAAACCAAAACTACTATTACATAAATGGATGTTTCACCTAAAAATAATAAAAATTCTAATCTAAAACAACATGAATGTAATTTACTTCTAAGAGCTTAGACCGGAGAATCACATCTACAAATGTGGTTCGAAGAAACAGCTTGTGTTTGTGTTTGTGTTGGTGCAGCTAAAAAGGTAGGCTTCTCATCTCCAGCCATGATCACAACAAATTTCGACTTCATATCGAGTTCGGTGCTTGATTGATTCCCGGCCGTTCCCCATCCAACCGGCTCCCCATCGAACAAGGTCGAGGGGGAGACCGGCCGCTTTCGGTACGAACAAGCAAGCATAAGCAATGCAGTTGCTATTAGGCCCATGAGTAGAACCACGGCACAAAAGAGGTAGGGTGTTGGAGAGTTCCATCTCCACACAGAAGTACTTGTGTTTGTTTCTCTCATTTTATTTGTGTTTGTGTTGTTTTTGTTTGGTGTGTTTTGAGAAGGTTACAAAAGGGTGTGTGTATTTATAGCTGTCAAATATGTTTCAAAAAAATATTTGGTATGGTATTGTGTAATTACTAAAATGACCTTATTGAAGGAAGATACTTTGTTAAGCTTTCTAGATACTTGGTGTATTCTATGGTTTTGGCCTTTTGAGAAAAAGGGGCACTAGAAAAGTGGCCTGTGTTCATTAAATAATGTCAATAGTTAACAACCTATGATTATATAACTAATATAATCACAAATTAATTAAAACTTGAATAGTTTAGCGTAGTATTCCATACACAATGATTCATATCGGAGTATATAGAACAGTAAAATTTGTTCGAATTAATCATCAACTCATTAAATTTGAACAAAAAGAGCATATAAAATGTAGTTACGTCTTTCTAAAATGTTCGTCAAGGTGTGTCTGAAATAGAGTGTGAATATAGATATTAGTATTTATCATGAAAAAGATGTTACTTATCGTTATAAAACTACATGATTTATCATCAGAAAACATGAGCATATATGAAATAAGTACTTCATTTGGGAGCTCAATTTGATGGGGACAATTCAATGTTGCATGATACGTATGGTAATACTAGGTTAGTACTACGCACATTGAAATAGACCTCCCTCCACTTTCTTGCCACATAAAGTTCTTCCTTTGAGAACAAACTATGTTTCAGGTGGAAATTTTATTCCTTCTTAATACTTTGTTATAAAACAACATAAATGGCTAATAGAAAATGATAATAATATCTTACACTTTTGGATTGATTTAATATTAGTGGAAGAGCACAAACCGATTTTTTTTTTTTTTTTATTTTTTTACTTTTATAATTCTATATTATTTTGTATGTGTTTGTGAATTGTGACAAACTTGTATAATTATGGGGAAAGAGGTGATGAGAGGTTTAAGGACAAAAATATGCAGGCTTTGATTTTATGTAATTGTTTAATGAAAGTTGATTAATATTATTCCCTACAACCAAGCTATAAATAGATTTGCCTATTTTAATAGTTTAACAAAGCTTTATTAGTTTCTAAATTTAAAAAAAAAAAAAAAAAAAATAAATAAATAAATAAAAAATTATAAATAATTCGCAGAACAAGTAACCTTATTTGTACAAGTTACCTAAGATGATTATGCCTTACACATTAAGATGTCAAGTGGATATCAAGGGCAAACAATAATTAATTAGCAACGTACATCATCGTCATAAGCTAAGAGATGAATTATCATCCTTATTATGCGTATGAGGTCTAGATCAGATTAAGATGATTTAATGTCTAAAACTTGTCTTCTCCTCTATTCAACTGAATGTGTTCGTCCTAACAATTATTTTTATTCATACAAAATACACACTAATAACTCGACCACAATGATTGTGTGTAAAAATAGGTTGTCCGTACATTTTATTTGTGACACCACAAATTCTCATGCATTAATTTATGGAAAAATTATCGGGAACTACCCACCTAATAGGTCATTTTGTCAACAACTACTCGTTTAAAATTTTATCAAAAATCTACCCAATATTTAATTTTTTTTTACTAGCACTACCATTTTGATCGTCCGACAACAAAATCCGGCAAGTGGGGCTCGCTTTTGTTTTCCCTTCCAAAACTTAAGCACAAAATGATGAATCATACAATTAAAAAGCCAAATAAGTGAATTGAACATCAATTTAGAAACATTACATATCTATTAATTAAAAACCACAATTACTTTCCCCTTCTTCAATTAGCGAAATTTTAAAATTTTTGTGTTTTTAGGTTGTGTAGTTATAAAGAGGATGAGTTTAGATAGGTTTAGGCTTAATTTTGAAGGAAAAATAAAATTCGGCCACTCTTGACGGATTTTGTTGCCGAAAAATCAAAATGGGTAGTGCCACTCAAAATTTTTAAATTTAAGGGGTTGTTTTTTTTATAAAAATTTTAAGCGAGTAGATGTTGATAAAATGACCTATTAGATGGGTAGTTCCTGACAATTTTTCCTTAATTTATCACATTTTTGTCTATACAAATATATGGGGGAAAACTTACAAGGACTATGATTTACCCATATTTGCTCAATACCAAACGAAATAAATTTTGCGAGATGGTGAGCAACAACCCCAACAAGATTGCCCTCCCACTTTACATGGGACTAGAAAATAAAATTAAAATACGGCACATTACACATAACATCCTGTAGAATAGAGTCTAAATCAGTCAAAAATAAATTAAATGTATTTTTATTATTGTCTCCACTAGAAAACAACATCCGTAGTATAGTGGTGTAAAATAAGTGTTTCAAAGGCTACAAAAATATAAGAATAATGTGTCTGTTTGATCAAAGGAAAAATGGTACGGTGTGTCGCTGAATTTGAAAACGAATTCCGGCGATGAATCAAACATGATCTCACATGACTCTTTTACTTTTGTGAGTAAATTTGAAGATTATCTAATACTCCCTCTATCTCAGAATACATGACACAGTCAACATTGCACACATGTCAATGCACTACTTTGACTTTATTTGTATATAATTAAATATTAATGAAAATTATTTTAAAAATTATATTTTGAAACTTTATATATATACCTATTTAACAACATATTTTATGATAAAATATGTTTTTATTATGTTAGTAAAAAATTATGATCAAAACTAATACATGAATAGTGAAAAAAGTCCAACATCTCATATATTTTGGGACGAAGGTAGTATTATGAATAATGTTTAAAATCTAAACATAACCAATAGAAAGAAACGGATGAAGTATTATGAATAGTATTTAAAATCTGATAACAACCAATAAAAAGAAACAGAGGGGTACCCTACAAAATTAATCATCCAAAAGTTTTTGTAAAAAAAAAAAAATCATCCTAAAGTAATTGAAACACTTTAATATACATTTTTGTTGATACATAAAATTATTTTACCTTTAATAATTTTGATTGTATATTTATTATAATTAGTTGATACTATGAAATTTTATACAATGTATCAATTTTTTTGTGCATATTATTTATAGAATTCAAGTCAATCTCCTAAAAAATTATGCCATTAAAGTGATGCGCACTTTAAAAAAATGGAGGGATTACTTTTTTTTTTGCATTAAATGTCTGAATTTATTATAAAATGATTTATTATAATTGTAGTTAAATAAAAATATCTTAATGAATGTTACTTTTTTATAGTACTAATTTATATCAAAGTTATCAAAATCGAGATTCCACTTTGAATTGGAAGGGATTTAGATGTGTATGTGTTACTGATGATAGTAATCGTTTCAGAAGTTTTCCTACAAGTTTTTATTTCTCACATGAGAAGGTTTTTTCTTGTTTTAGGCTTAGAATATTTTAAAATTTTGACAATAATTATTCTTACTAGGAGAATTCGAGTGAGATGATTTTTAGTGGTTGTGACTATTCACCATAATTTTATTTGGTATGTATGCATGTATGAATTTTTTCATACTCGCATAGTATCATATTAGGTATTTTATATACTTTGAAAATTGAAGTGACATCATTATAAGAAGATTATGATTTTTGGATTGTTTGATAAATTCTATTTAATGACTTGTTTACAAATATGATAAGAATTGACAATTTAATTATGACATGATACAAAAAAATTAATGTATGCTTAATTCAATTTTATAAGAAATAACTACATTTATTATTTATGAAACATGATTATTATTTATTACTCACTCATATTTATAGATTGGGACAAGTAAATTTAATACTCTTTCATAGAATGAGTTGAGTCAAAGAAGGATTCCAACGTAGAAGTGTAATTATGCACATTTTGTGTGTGTCATAACAATGTAATAAATTGATTAATCACGAAATTAAGGGGCGAATGCAATAAATTATACATATAAATATTTAAAAATATGATATTTAAAAATATAACATTCTAACGGATAAATCACAAAAGAAATTCGAAAGAGGTGTATGAATATTTAAATGTTTACGTACTTTGAAATGTTAGATTTTGCACTTATTTCTTGTTTTTAGTACAGTACATTGGTTTCTTAATATATGGTTAATGTTAATTTTGTAAATCATCTAAAATGGTTTTGATCATTAAACTGCAGAACTAGCAAAAGTTCACCCGCTGCAAGTGAACGAAATTCGAGGACCCAAAGGAGGTTATCACATGAAGAAGCTGAAAAATGGATATCTACGAATAGACATGTCTGGCGTTAAGTCGGATGATTTTGTAGTCGATACAGACGAAGAACAGGCAGAGATTAGGTTGAGGTGTCATTAAAAGGGTTTTTACTAGAGAATTTTCAAAGAAAGACTCCGAGAGGTCTTATGCTGTTACTGTCAAATTTCATGACGATTGTCATAATTTCAGTAAAATTATGATCGATCATCAATTTAAGGATGGTGTTGGAAGCATAGCCGTTTATAATATTTTGGTGGCCCAGGGCTAAATGATAATACTTTTGTTGAATAAATCATTTGTTTTTATAATTATAAATATTTATGTAATTTGTTATTCATAAATACTTTTATGTAATTTGTTAATTACTTCATCCGTTATTTTAATTGCATTATTTACACTTTTCCAAAGAAATTACAAATACTACTTACCATTAATGTTCAAGATTAATAATAAACTATTTATTGTAGTATTCTTTAGCAATTTACTTTTGCGCCAATTCAATTCTTCAGTTGAAGTAAATATTTACTTCAATTGTATTAACAAGATATAAAGCAATAAATTAATATATAAAACTTACAAGGACTATGATTTACCCATATTTGCTCAACACCAAACGAAATAAATTTTGCGAGATGGTGAGCAACAAGATTGCCCTCCCACTTTACATGGGACAAGAAAATAAAATTTGATATCTACTACCTACAATGATTTAAACAAGTTTCTACATGACTAAGTTATAAAATAAAATAAAATAAAATAAAATCTTTATCCCATACTTCATAGTCAAAGTAATTAAAATAAAAATGGTCCAATTATTGTCTAGAAACGAAGGGAGTTATATTTATGGTAGTTTATTTATTTTAGGAAACTATCCTTAAAAAAAAAATAAAAAAAATAAAAAAAGGAAACTAGTTATATGATTTACCCCGTAATATACTAGTCATAGGTTTGGTTTCCTAATACTCGTACAAGTAGTATTTATCTTGTTATTACAAAATTATATTGGTTTCCTGATGTTTTCGCTATTTAATCAAGTTCAATTGACATAAATTCCAAGTAATTTTCAAAAGTACATAAGATTAAAACTAAAATACAGGGGTTTCCATCAGATTTGAAGTCGAGGAATTTCTTTTTGATTTCAGCATTAATTTAATTGGTCCGGATCGAAGTTTGTATAAAATCGAAAGGCATGGCCGACTCAAGTGTTCTGGGTCATCCTCTATTTCGTAATTTAAAGGTCAGTTTAGCTTTTATTGGTATATTTTAACAACAAAATTGATAGTTTTATGGTTACAATTTTGTGCTTTGAATCTAATTTATCGTATTATGGTTTTATTTTTGTGCTTTGTTAGAAACAAAATCGAGGGTTGCCCCAAAAAAAATCGAGGGTTATGGTTAATTTTGATGCTTTGCAATGTATTCCAATTTAGGGTAACAGTTGTGTGCTTTGCAAATTGCAATACGATTGATGGTGTTATGGTTATAGTTTAATACTTTGCAACAAACAAATGATAGTATTATGATTAAAGTTTTGTTCTTTGCAACAAACAAAACTGATAGTATTATGATTAAATTTTTGTGTTTTGCGACATGATTTATGTTTTTTTTTTCAATTGTGTTTGGAAAATTCAGCGATTCAAAAAAATTGAAGAGAAAGACCGGATTAGTGATTTGCCAGATGAACTCCTGTCAAATATTGTGGCAAGATTAACATTGAAGGAAGCAATAACTACTAGCATCCTTTCAAAGAGATGGGCTGATGTATGGGTATCATACCCTATTCTTGACTTTGGATTTCTTAAGAAAACCTATTATACTGAAATACTTGTGCATAGAGTCAACAAAGTTTTGGAGAAATTTAATGGTGGAAAGTTGCATAAATTCAGGATTGTGCACCCAATGTCTGAGAGATTTAAGTCTCATATCGATGAATGGATTTCCTTTGCAACTCGAAATCGTGTTTCTGAGCTTGAACTCGACTTCGGAGGTTGGCCTAGACATGAAGGTTTTGACGATTATCATGTTCCTCTCCATGTGTTTGCTCGAGAAGAGATGATGATATTAAATCGTTCCTCTCCCAATGTTAGAAGCTTTGTGTCTTTAAGAGATCTCCGACTTAGGTCTGTAAACCTTTCTGACCAAGTATTTGACATAATTTTATACAATTGTTCCTCTCTAGAAAATTTTCATTTGAGATTTAATCGTGGGCTAGTTAATGCTAAGAATACAGCTCCTCACCTAAAGCTGAAATCACTGAAGCTGCACGATTGTTTTGACTTAAATAAATTGGAACTTTTGGCCCCAAATCTTGTGTCATTCATGTATGAAGGAGGTTATAAGGTAAGATTATGTATTAAGGATGCTCCACAGCTTGCATCCCTGTGCCTATCAGTTGAAACTGGTTTAAAATCAGATATGCACCCGATATTTCCTAGAGGAAAAAACTTTATTTTCAACCAGTTCTCCTCTTATCTCCCTAAGCTGGAATCTATGGTTGTCTCAGTTGCTCTTTTTGAGGTAAGCAGAAGCAAATTCATTGAGCGTACTGATTTTTCTTATCTTTTGGCTACTTTTGCTTACATGATGGATGGGTCTGTCATCTGTGCAGGATATGAGTAATTTTATGGAACTTTGTGTGTTTAGCAATCTAAAAACTCTGGCGTTGGATGCAAATTCATCTTCAATACGACTATGTTGCCAAGTAGCGGCTTTTATAATCAGTGCAGCCCCATACTTGGAGCTACTTGAGCTACATGTAAGTATTTCTTTCACATGTCAATCTGAATTCCCCTATTCCTGGTCCTAATTGATTTTATTTTTTCTTTGCGTGGCTTGTAGCTTTCACCAACAAGAGCTTCTCTCAAGGAAATGGAAGCACTAGAATTGCCGTCTATGTCTCCACATAAGAACCTTAAAGAGGTCAAGTTGTCTGGCTTTAGAGCCGATGTATATACCATAGACTTTCTTGCCTATCTTGTTGAATGCACCGATTCTCTCCAGAAGATTAATCTCAGTGCATATGCTACTGATAGGTCTGGAGATGAGTTGTTTGTGCAAAACCGTTTAAAATGGAGGGCAGATGAGGCTGAAAATTGCAAGATATGTGTGCAGGAACTCAGGAAAATATTGTATACAAATGTCCAGCTGATATTTCATGATTAGTAGTGGCTGAATTGTACACTTATTTTTTTATTATTTAACTAAAATATAAAGATACTGTAAATTTAGGCAGTTATTTGTGTTTTCTGCTTATAGAATTATGTAATCAGCCAGTGCCAAAATTGTTTCAATAATTACCTTTTTATATTATGGAGTTATATGCCATTTTCAAAATTATTTATCAGTCGAAAAGCATTCTGAAGTTTGAACTGAAGTTTTAGATAAAGACACAAGGACAACATAATATAATTAGCAAAACACCCTTCTTATGTCCGAAATTATATCAAGGATGCAGAATGAGTTAACTAATTCTATCAGTTAAAACTTGTTTAGAATCAGATATGCATGCAATATTTCCTAGAGGAGAAAACATTTTTTTGAACCAGTTCTCTCCTCTTATCTCCTTAAGTTGGGAGTCTGTACTTGTCACGGTTACTCTCTTTAAGGTAAGCAGAAGCAAATTGATTTTGGCTTCTGAATTTTCTCATCTCTTTATCACATATCTTATGGATGGGTCTGTCATTTTTGCAGGATATGAGTAATCTTATTACTCAACTGTGTATTCAGAAATCTAAAGAAATCTGGTGTTGGATGGATTTCTTGCATCTTCAATGCGACGACTGTGCTGCCAAGTAGCTGCTTTTATAATCACTACTTGGAGGTACTTGAGCTATATGCAAGTATTTATTTCACATTTCAATCTGACCCCTAATCCTGCATTCGGTTTGCATGTGAATGCTGAATGGTATTCTCTTGACTTGATTAGTAGTAAGTGTAGTGGTTTAACAATGAACTTTGCGCTGGAATTGCCTTCCATGTCTATGCTGAAATTTCCAGGTATTGTGTGCTGCAATTCAAGACAGTTTTGCACCATCAATTCTGTGCTAACATAAAAGGCTGTGACCAATTACCTCAATTTTCCAACTTGAAACATTCATTTTAGACGTTATTATTCTTATTATGCTATATTATATTCGTATTTGCTACCTTTAAACATTAACTTCCACTAGTTTCATGTGATTTTTTTTTTTTTTTTTTTTCACATATAGTAAAACGATTATATATTCGTTATAATGAGTTTTGACGATAAATAATAATTTTTTTTTTGATATTATGTCATGAATATAGGCCAAATCAATTCAAGCATTATTGGGGTAAACTTGAAAACATAGATAATACATATACGGCCTAAGTAGGGGATGCTAATCGAGTGAGTCGATTACGAGTTGAGGGGTGCTCGACTCAACTCGATTTTTTTTGGGATTTGTTAAACATCGCCCGCAAATTACTATATAAAGCCCACAAATATGACTTGGTGTGACTTTATTGCCCTTATCATTTTAAAAAAAAAAACTCTCTACTTCTCTCTAAAAAAAAAAAGAAAATCTACCACTCCTAAATACGACAATGTCTAGGCGGCAAGGGAAGGAGGTGGCGGCGGCGACGGGGGAGGAAAGGCGGCGACCTGGTGGCAAGGTAATTATTTAATATTTTTTATTAAAAAAAAATAATAAGAAAACGGTGGCGCGTGGTGGGGCGTCCGGTGTGGCAGCCAACGCCGGTGGCGTGGCGTCTGGCTTGGAAGCCCAGCCACCAGGCCAGGCGTCCAAACCAGAAGCCGGGCCAGTGGCTGTGGCGTCCAGATCTGGCGCCTGGGCCATTGGGTGGGCGTCCATTTCAGGAGCCTGCCCACTGGCTACGGCTGCCAGAACTGGCGCCACCGCCAGTGGGTGGGCGACTTGGCCAGGCGCCCCACCTCCCTTTTTTTTTTTTATTTTTTTTTTGTTTTTATTTGTTTTTGTTATTTTGTTTTTCTTTTTTTTGGTTTTATTTTTTTTTTGATTTTGTTTTGGTTTTTTAATTTTTTTTTTTATTTCGCAAAATCAGAAATTTATTTTTATTTAAAATAATTTTGTGTTATGTCTAATTTTTTTTCGTTAATGTGTTTTATTTTTTTTTTAAATATTTATCAACTTTATGTGTTTTTTTTATAAGTCGTGTATATTTTATTTTTATAAAATCAGTTTTTTTTTTTTTTGTTTATGTTTTTTTTGTTTTATGTTTCATGTTTAAACATTTTTTATGCCTTAATTGATGTAGTATGTGGAAATTGTTTGTGTTAATGTGTAATTGTTTTTTTTTATTTATTTTTTTGTGTGTATTTATGTTTAATTATTTGAAATAATTTTTATTCTTTTTGGAAATCCTAAATTTTGTAATATATTAGGGTATTATGTGTGTATTTGTGTATGCCGTATAATATTTATATATGTTTAATTAGTTGAAATAATTTGAAATTTTTGTAACATTTTTGATTAACAACATGCACTTTATTATGTTAATTTGTTAGTATGTTTTTAGTTTATTTGATTTGGGTAGTGGTAGCTATTTTTCGTATAATTTTTTGTATGTTTATATATTTTACATTTTTGGTGTAGAGTTCACTGGGTCGTCATGGTGCGGGGAAGAATGTAGAGCTTCTTAGTAGAAGCTATTCAGTGGAGAGGTCGGGGCATAGACATGTTAGATCCCGTGGTATTTCGGCCTCAGCTCGTAGAGAACGGATCCACCGTCGGGATGAGGATGACGATGACGATGATGATGCTGAGGAGGGTGACCAGGAGGAGGAGCAGGAGGAGGGCGCAGATGAGGATGAGGATGTGGACGATGGCAGTGGACCGTATGATGATTACGGTCCATTCAGTCACAGGGTTGATGACATGTACGAGACACATATGGTGGAGGTGCGTAAGGGTAGGGGTGGTAGGTTTGTTAGTAGATCTGGCACATCATCTGCGTCCACTGTATCTGGGGCAAGCAGGAAACGGTCGAGGGCCGGTAATGATTCTTGGGTTGTTAGGAGTGAGGTGCCCGGTGGGCCTGTTGACGGGAGTGTGATTCCTAGCTTTCTAGGACACATAGCTGCCCGTATTTGGGAAGACCAGGAGAGGCCTTCAGTTACGGGGTTGTTAAAATGTCATACCCGGGAAAAGACTTGTAGCTTTTTGCGTACATGGGCTGAGGCTTGGCCGGCGGAGAGCGAGATGTTCGTGCGACTGGAGGGCACTGGGGTGAATCACGTTCCTGCCACCATGCACGATAAGATTGACAGTACGCTGATCACGGCTTTCGTTGAGCGATGGCAGCCGGATACAAACTCTTTCCACCTTCCGTTCGGTGAGATGACGATCATGTTACATGACGTCGAGGCCATTCTGGGGATTCGTGTTGAGGGTAAACGACTTTGTGCTGTGGCTGATGCGGATCAGGCAGATTTGCTGGCGGAGTTGTTGGCGGTGGACAGGGCTGCACTGTACACCGAGGCGCTAGGTGTTTGGGAGCACGGAGGTGTGAAGATCGCATCCGTGTTGCAGCGGTGTTTGTACCCCAGTGCACGTAGGACGCACGACGCACAGCTGAGTGCTTATGTTTTTCTACTCCTCGGATGTACCTTGTTTCCGGATAAGAGCGGCGGAAACAAGCTCAGGCCACGCGACATAGTAGAGGCGTGTGACCCCAACAGTGTAGGCCAGTTTTCCTGGGGATCGTCTACGTTGGCGTATTTGTATTGCCAACTAGGATTTGCGAGTCGGGCTGACGCGGCAGGTATCACTGGGTGTCTGACTCTATTGCAGACCTGGATATACGAGTACTTTCCTGCATTGCGACCACATCGTGACCCGGTTCCTATTGATGAGGGGATGCCGCGTGCTTGTGCGTGGAGTCCGCGCTCGGAGAAGAAGTTCGTTGACCGCCTCCGATCGATACGGTTATTGCTGGACAGGCTGTCCCCCTTAGAGGTAACGTTTATAAATTGTTTCTACATTTTATTATTTGCACATATTATATTCATGTTATTAAATTTTAAAACTATGTGCAGGTGAACTGGATGCCTTTCGGCCCGAACCCTAGTGTTAGGGTACCCAGGACCCTGTACACGGGACTCATTCAGTATCGTGAGATCGTCGAGGCGTACATGCCCCAGCATTGTCTTCGCCAGCTTGGATTTGTCCAAGTTGTCCCTCCTCCCCCGGCATGCCCGATGAAGGCGGTCCGACCTGCATCGTCGAGGGACTACGTCGTGCAATGGCCGGATATCATGACCGGGACGTGGGACCAGTTTCCGATGGTGGCCCGCTTATGGACTGCGGAGTTGCAGCGGCCGCCCTCTGGGGTTCCTCCCATGTGTGACCATTACTACATGGAATGGTTCAACCGGTATTCGCACCCGAGGTTGATCGCAGATCTCGACCACAGCGATGATGATTATGTGCCACCGCCTACTGCCATGGAAGCGGTATGTCTCATATTATATTTATCGTTGTCTTTTAATTAAGTTTTATATGTTGTTATTGTATTTCATCTTTTGTTTTTTGTTGTATGCAGTGGATGGGAAAGATAATGCAGGACGTACAGAAACTCTCTCTTGAGAAGGACAACATGAGTGCAACAGGGAGAACTGTTGTTGATAGTCTGGAACAGACCCTTGCGCAGTGGGAGTCGTCGTCGAGGAGGGATTACTGATGTTTTTGTCATTTTATTTATAGAGCACTTTAAATATTATCGTTTTAATTTATTAAATTGGACATTATGTTGTAAGTTTGTAACATTTTAGATTGTTCTTTTAGCTTCCAACTTAAACATATTATCATTGCTGATTTTAAATTTTGATATAACCGTTCGTGGATCCGCGCAACTTACCCATGCAACATATAGAATGCAGTAAGCAATACAATATAAAAGATTAATGTTCTCATTAAAAGAGCAACGTACAAATAAGATTACATAAGAAGAATGTAAACATGAAAAACTAAAATGCAGCTAGGGTGTTCCATTCGTGGATCCAGTCATGATATAGCGCATCCCAACCCTCTACGCTCGCTGTGCGAATGTTGTACCACCGAGGTATTATCGGTGGCACTGGAAAATCGGATGACATGTCTAGTCGGATGAAATGTCTGTATGGCGACCCAAGAAACGCAATAGCTAGCTCTCTGACCGGTGTGGTGACAGTCTCACGCGACCGCCAAGGGAGAACCGTGGTACAAGAATAATAAGCTTGACTATGCACTCCCAGGCCGAAATGCATGACTGCGCATTTGTAAATGTTTGCAACGGCAAACAGATCTAGGGGCGCGTCAAAATAATGATTTTGGCC